GTCTCTCATTCTCCTCCTCCTCCGGCTCCTAGACCCCGTATCGTCCTCCCCCAAGAATATCGAGATGGACGGCATCCCCTTCCACCGCATCGACCGCTCAACTCTCCGCCGCCGCATCATCTCCGTACCCCAAGATGCCGTCTTCCTCCCCGACGGCAGCACTATCAAGTCCAACATCGATCCCTTCAACGCAGCCACAGACGCAGAGTGCTTCTCCGTTCTCCGCGCGGTACAACTCGGCACCTTTGTCGAAGAGCGCGGCGGCCTACGTGAGGCCATGAGCGCCGACAGCCTCAGCGCTGGACAGAAGCAGCTCTTCAGCCTAGGGCGAGCAATCCTGCGACGCCGGGTCAAGGACGCCAAGTTCAAGCGTCGTGGCGGCGGGATTCTGCTGCTGGACGAGGTCAGTTCCAGCGTCGACCATGCGACGGATAGGTTGATGCAGGAGATTATCAAGGAGGAGTTTAGGACGTATACGATTTTGATGGTGTCGCATCGCCTGGATATGGTGATGGACTTTTTCGACGCGGTGATTGTCATGGACCAGGGGCGTGTTATTGAGACGGGGAGCCCGCGGGAGCTAGTTAAGACAGAGGGGAGTCGGTTTGGTGAGCTGTGGGCGATTGAGAATCAGGGAAGGTCGAGGGATCCTGTCAGGTAGCCACGGTTCATGGCAGAAGCATTACTGTAGCAAGCGAATGTTTTTCATCAATAAAGGATATGTTCTGGCATGGCGGTCCTTGAATGAAGGAGACAATGTTTACACGGTAGAGGACGGATGTGGCAGACAAAAAGCGAGCATCTTCTGTTCACCTACTTTACCCCAATCATGAAGCAAACACTCAAGAACAAACATCTTCTGTTCACCCGTCCCAATCCTACCAGTAACATCAAAGAATGAGCATTTTCTGTTCAATCATCCCGATACTGTAAGTAAACGCCCAAGAAGGAGCATCTTCTACCTCGGTATCCAGCCACCTTGAATCCATAAGAAACACCACTACGACCCCAAAGTTTGACGATTACCATCTCCTGCCACGAACTATCTCCGCTTTAAGAATTGCAACATGGCACCCAGAAAGGCACCCAAAACATTCGACCAGAAGAAGCTCCTTCAACCCGGTGTAAAAATAGAAGAGGCAGCTCCAGCACCCAAAAAACAAGGGGTCATTGAGGGCGCTTATAATATTGCACTTGCGGCATATCGTTGCGGTCACGCGAACCCGAAGTCAAAGGTAGTGCTCAAAGATTATTTTCCGCGCCCTGTTCGGGTCGAGATGGTCAGTGTAATCGGGAATGACGATGCAGGCAAAAAAGATCATGGCAAGACTCCAAGAAGAAAAATCCGGTACAGCAGGCATTAGAATACTGGACGACAAACCAACAGACATCCTCTTCGACGACCTTGGCGAAGCTACCGACGACACGGTCAACACCCAGCCTATGGAAGAATCTCGTCAGGCCACACCTTTCAAATACCCTCAAGGTCATCCGGCCACACCTGCCTGTTGGAAAAAGTAAGATTTTGCAACTCCTGAGAGCCTTGGAGGCTCTGTCATCCCAGATTTGGTCATCATTTCGACAAAACTCGAAATGGACGTCTTGGAGACTATCCTCAAGACTGCTAAGGACAATGACATTGACGTTGTCCTAGCTGCGGTGCCTGAGTCTCCTATTGACAAAGACCTCTTCAAGTGTATCACACATTGTATACTCAAGGAGCCGGAGGCTGAAAAACTCGCTAATTCGGGGCCGGATGTCCAGAAAGGGCCGTTCCTAAGGCCCTGATCTCCTCGCGGCCAAGGCCAATTGCCAGTCGCCAGAGGGTACAGCGCCACTGGAAGTGCCACGGCCCCGCAGAGCAATTGTACCGCCGTATTGGGCCGTAGCACCGGGCCACTGCCGGGGCGCCGTTGAGCCTCGGGGGGGGAGGGGGGGGATAATACGTGTGTTTCCAGCGGCGGGAAGGGTTCTGGCAACAGAATTGGCAAAAGGCACAGCTTCTCAGAAAACCAGTTCTGAGCATGGAATCAGCCCTTTTGGCAACAACTATACCATCTCCGGCCTGTCTCAGCCACTGATTCAGAAAAGAACATTGCATAACTTTGGCGTAGATGAGAGACCGGATCCGGCAGCCAAACTAATTACAGCCAGAAGAGGTTTGGCATCACGGAAAAGGGTTTTCCGTTGTTTTTATGCACCGATTACATCAGCACTGGCAACTGGCAATTGGCTTTGGACACGAGGAGATCAGGGCCTAACTACTCGCCGTTTAGATAAATGTGGCGTGAAGAATGTGGTTCTTCCATGTGGCACCCATTAGTATTGTCACTGGGAAAACAGGGGGGCTTCGGTTGTTCATGCCTATGATGAGAACGATACTGAGGCTGGAGTGTAAGTAATTTCCCCCCTTCTTCCATCTCTTCTGTTTTGTATACTTATACAGGTGAATAGGGACACGTTTGTCGGGGTATTTGCAACTTATTGTCTGGTTCAAAGAGGAAAGTGGGGGAAACGTCAAGAGTTCAGTCTGGAGGTGTCAATCAAGGTTGCATCTGCAGCTGCTGCTATAGCTGCTGGGAATGTGGCAGGGAGTACTCCATATCCGTCGTATAATGACATCGATGGCCTTGCAGCCCCTGAAGAATCGACTTCATATACCTCTATAATCAGTCGCTGCTGGCTTGATTAACACGAATAGCCCCGGGCATAGTGCGTTCATGGATTACTTCCATGGGTAGCGAGGACCATCCCAATTGCCAATGACTTTTTTCAATTTGGTCTCTTTTTAACTTTTTGTTTTCTTTTTAGATTTCTTATGAGAAGAAAGGTCAGCTTTCAATCCAGTCATTACCTTCATCCAGTCTTCTAGTGATCATACTGTGTTTTCATGTCGAGAGCCAACGTCCACGATAATCTTCCAGCTGTGTGTCGGCCGGCCAAAATATGGTGGGCGAGAGCGGTAGTTGCCTAATATCACAGCACCGGCCACCTCAGTTGAGGGCAAGGTTTCAACTCATCGGGAAGGGGATTAGTTAGGAATTGTGGGCTTTGGAACGTTTTGAGAGGATACATAGATGTATTGTCGAGTTGGAGTTCAGAACATCTCCGGCCGCCATCGACCTTGACGGCCCGCGCCGCCGTATAACTTACCTACCCGTATTGCATCGTGTATTTTAGATTAAAATCACTATATCAAATTAAGTGCGTATATAGGGTATATTGGGCGTATTATATAACTAGTTAAATTACGTACCGTATTATGTGATTTCCCTTGAAAGCTGATCCCGTTGAGGTTGATCTTTTGCACCTGTAAAGCTGGAAAAAAACCACCACATTGTCGAGTTGTATGATGCTATAATTGACTGGTTCACGTCAGATCGATAAGTTCTAGATCGAGGGGCTGCGCAAAAGCCTAAAGGTCTGGTGGCAGGTCATCAGCCACAACGCGAGGAGGGTATAGGCCTTTGCCAGCTGCCGACCTCGGCCTAGTTTATAAAGGTGGCAGATTCCGGACCGTCGTCTGAAGATTAATACAGGAGAGTAAATTGTTCAGTGTGTAGTCCTTTGACGTAAGTCTACCCGCCGCATGCAAATGAGGGCATCAAGGATATGTTGTTATGTTCATCTCTAAGCAACGACTCAGTTTCGTGGCCTTAACAAACAAATTATGGAGTGCACACCTTATAAACGCAGTGCACCTTTGAGGATCCAACAATCTTAATCGTGCCATGTGTTTGTGTACTACGGGTATCCAGAATTCCGTTGCTCATTGTTGGAATTGCAATCTCTATCGACCGACCATGACCGCACGATGAAGAGAAAAGCGCTCCGATGGGAATCACATGCGCAATGCTTTCTTTTGTGCGTTCTATTTACCAACGCAGGTTTCAAAAGATTACTGGCGGTGAACGTTAACCGGAGCCGCCTACTTTACCCGATTGATTCAATGATTGTTGACATGATACCCTGCTCTGTGCTGTAACTTAACCCATTTATTCCATGGTAGAAAACATCCTCTGAGCCGTCACAGAGTGACAAGTCTTGTGTGATAGCACAGCCTAATTTTTGATTGCCTGTAGAAATGACGTTCTTGGCCTAAGATGGTGGCATTGCGTCAAATGAACTATGCCATTGGACTGCACAGCGAAGCAGCTCTCATACTGTGCCTGCCCGTGTGATCTTCCAAAATTGATCCTTGTCGAGGGCCATAACTGACTGCACAGAAATGGGTTTGGCTTACTCGCCTTCTAAAGCACCAGAAGTCGATGTGGTGGACGCCTGCCCAGTAATTAGTCCATCCTACTCCTCTGGAGAGACACATCATGACAGCCCGGCGGCTTTAAGATTGTTAACATCACATATTTACTAGCATAAGACCTCGCTCTTGGAACTTGGCACCATGGTACCGCAGACCATAACAACCGGTAGGCCTCTGGACGCTGATCTGATAGTGATCTCGCCCCGGACTCCAGATCGAGGAGAGTGTGTTCAAGCAGACCATTACCAGGAAACCTTGAGTGAAAAGGCCAAAGATGGCGAATGCTGCGCTCTTGATGGAACGCTCTTGTCATAAGAAATAACTGGAGTCCTCGGCCGAGAGCTTGTTGGGACGGAGGGGGTTCGTTCTGGTGAGCTGTGGGCGACTACGAATCAGTGGAGATCGAGTGATCCATGAGTATGCGGGTGCGGACGGCGTGGTCACAGATATCATTACATTTAGGCAGACATCAACACAGCGATAAACGCAGACGATGTTTGACGATGTAAGAGTAAGATGTTCTCAGTTCTGCCTTGGTGCTGTAGTCTGTGGCCTCCGTCTCGTTACGAGGTCGCAACTTCTTTGAGCCGCGCTTGCATGGGGATCCCCTGGTCAATATGAGGGCTGGGGAGACAAAGAACGAGGGTCTTCTGTTCACTCACTCCAGCCCTATAAAGGACCATCATCGCCATAACCTGATGGTTTTTCGATTACTGACTTTCCCACCTCAAGCACCCTTGCGTTTGAAGATTATACCATGGAACCAGAGACGAAGACTATCATGGTTATCGGGGCGCTGGCTGCTGATCGCATCATGGTCGCGCCCCGTGTTCCAGATGCAGGGGAAAGTATGGTAGCAACGCAGTACGAGGAAGCCTTGGGGGGCAAGGGCGCAATCACTGCGCTTTCGGCATACCGCTCTTGTCACAACAAGGCGTCGTCCTACAAGGGCGATGGCGCCATTCGGGTCAACATGATCGGCAAAGTCGGCGACGACTTGAGCGGAAAGATGATCAAGGAGGAGTTGGATAAGAGTGGCATCGATGTCACTGGTATCGAAGAGGTACCAAACACACGAACAAGCATCTGCTCTGCCACGATCGAAGAATCCAGCCGCGAAAATCAGTGTCTCGCTATCCCGGATGCGACGGCAGCCTGGAAGAAGGGAGATTTCCTCAAGGCTAGTCAGTTTGGGTGTACGAATTGGCGGGACTTGATCGTGGCGCAAATGGAAATCGATAAGGATGTGGTTGAGAATATGATCCGCACTGCTGGTCACGCTAGCATCCCGTTCTGCTTGAATGCCGCGCCAGCAAGTCCTATCAATGAAAATCTCTATCGGTCCATTACACACCTTCTGGTCAACGAGTCTGAGGCTGCGATCATGTGTAAGGTGAAGCGAAACAAGGTGAAAGAGAAGACCTGGCCCAAGATTGCCGAGCAGCTTAGGATGGGCGGTGTCAAGAACGTGGTTATTACGCTGGGTGCAAAAGGTGCGTTCTACGCCAACGCAAAAGGCAGCGGGCACTGCCCGGGGTATGTCGTCACGGTCAAGGATACCATGGGAGCAGGGTGATTGGTTCTCTGTCACCCTTTCTGGAGATTTACGTGACAGATACTGATACCGGCTGCTAGTGACGTCTTCGCTGGGGCATATGCGTCTGAATACTTGCGCCAGGATGTCGGTCCAAATCAGGATTGGGATATCGAGAGTGCTGTTATTCGCGGGAACAAGGCTGCTGCGATTGCAATACAAAGCTCTGGAGCTCAGGAGGGCATTCCTTGGGAGGATGAAATCGACAAGTTTGCGGCACCGTTAAAAGAGCATGAGCCCCCCTCTCAATGTAGGGTCATATAGAAAGCTGGGCTCGTTGTGTGTGGTCATTCTCGCCTAGTGATTTCGCCCGGGAGCCCGAAGCCCGTCCGTAACTCGGGCTTGTGCCGGCCGGCGTAAATGCGGAGGGGCGGGGCTCCAATCTATCGGAATCTACTTAAAAGAAACTAAGGTAGAACGAGTAATTGTTCTGCGGGGCTTTCAGATACGACGGCTTTGATGCAATTTAATACTAGGAGGTTAGCACCGATCAAGTCTAGACTGAGAGGAGGTGCAGCGCAAAAGATCGTGGGGTGTTCAGCCGCAATGCGAGGGTGTGCTTTTGCCAGCTTCAGGCCTCGGCCTAGCTTTTGAGAATGGCAGACTCGGGAGGCTACAATGAGAGGAAGAGGAAGAGGTGCGTGTCATGTGCTCTTGATTAACACCTCAGAATTTGAGTGTTTGAAGACCATGGTTCGAGCGGCAATGGTCCCATCATGTAGCAAGCTCTGCTCTCGGAATAAGGTCATCATCAAAGGGACCTCAAAAGCATGCGTCTTGGGAACGAGAACGAGATGCCTGGAGACTCTCTAGCCCCCTCGCGCCCCCTCATCGTGCCGTGGTTCCTGGTGGCTGCGTGGCTTGCGCAATGTGGCAGCCCATCCTTTCACGGCACCACTGCCCCTCCTTCTAGAACATGTGCAGATCTACCTCCCCGATCGGGATGGCAACCACAATGTCGGATATTCAATAGTGCCATTCTCGTTAGACCTCTTCCAAAGTTCTCCAGGCTCAAAATACGTGTGGTGGGCGTTGGATACCTTCCTATGTCGTCTTAGGTCTTGCATTTGGGTTTTGCGTGTATGTCAAGAGAATTGTGTTCATTAGTCACCAATAGGTAGCCTGGTTCGGTCAAGGGCCAGATGGAGCATTGGGGCGCGGTGGATATGCGTACGAGATTTTCATCATTCTGTTACGCACTGGTTTGAAAGGAATAAGTTGCAAGTGATTCAAAGAGACGCGACATGCTGTCAGGATGAGACCAGATGAGGCAATGGTGCAGGGTGTCTCGGGCTCGGATGAGCTCTTGAAGCTCGCCCGGGCTGCCGCTCTGGCCACCCTTGGCGGAGAAGAGAAAGGGAGCTTGCTGATCTTCATCGGGTAGAGACATTCAAACCAACAGTTTCTCGCATCAAGGAATCAGTCGATGATTTGATTAGCTGACGGGACCTTGGTCGGTGAATGGGGCGTAAGGCGTGTCTGGGAGGGCGCAGCTCTCATGTAGCCAGGCGAGGTGCTCCGCGATGGAGAATGGGGGGCGGAGCTGGAATAGGCGCATAGGATGCGAACGATGTGACGCTGCAGATGGATGTTTCTGAAGGTGATGGAAAGTGTTTGTTCATATTCTGTTGGTATAGGTTGAGAATCCAGACTTGGCTCATTTCAATGCGCATGCCGGTGAAATTGTTGGTTCCTCTTGTTGCCCGACTGCTCGTGATCGGGCGAATGCGGCGGTGACTGGCATTGAGGATATTTTGTGGAACGCGAGGTCTATTGGGCTTTTACCATGCTTCAATACATTCAAGCCGCGGTAAGTATTGTTCAGTTGATAGGGGCAGTCCTTGTAAGCATCTACACCAGATTCAAAGAGGAAGAAAGCGACCTGGTGTTGTTGTTGTTGTTCAGTTGAAGGAAGAAGAGAGAACCTGGAGGGACTACCTACCCCATTTCGGTACGTACCGTCAGCTCCGGGAAGGTGGATCCTCCGATCGCTCAGCTGCCTATTTAGGTTAGTACAAAGATCATTAGCTAATACGGGCTAAGCGAGAACACACGGGCCATTAGCTTATCGCATTTACGAATTGCGCTAACAGGCGCCTACCCTCGTGACACCCGCCGCCGTCTCTTCGTCTCTTCGTCTCCCCATCCTCTCGCATCCATGGACCATGGACCACGACATGACCCGCCTATGAATCTCCCCGGTACCTGAACGAGCGGGGAAACACATCATGGAAGTAGAACGGAACTTTGGCAACTTTGTTTCGGCGACCACGCGGCTGTATGCGCCTTTTCTGCAACATTCTTAAGCCATGAACGCCAAAGACGCCACCATCGATGCTCTCCAACGACATCCCAACTGCTGTGTTCGTCGCGGTGGCTTCTTTCTTATTGTCAATGTCTCGACTTCGCGACGATGATAGTACCCGTACACAGATATGAAAACCAGTGTATCGGACCGGTGCCTGAAGCTGCAGGGTGGCACATAGCCACTGCCATGTGCTCTTGAAGCAACAAGTATAACCTCTTGGCTGCCTTGCCACACATGATACCTTCATCAACCCGTCGACGCGGTGTCTGGTTCGACGACATCAGACGCACTACAGCTACGAGGCAGTTCTCTCATAGGATCGACCGCTCCTACTGACTCCTCGTCTGGCGAGATATCCCCCAGTGCCAGTTCTGGCCTGGGTGCTCTTTCATGAACTGTTCAACAGCACCCAGACACAGACCATCCACGACCCACGCTATCAAGACAATCCTGGGCCCTGATACCACGTCTTGGCATGCACAACGGCCGGGTTGTGAAGGACATCTCAAGACGGTAGGTGTCCAGCGAACGGCGCACCCGTACGGCACGCCATTCGCACTATTGGACCTCGCCTGGTCTGCATCCTCTGCGCCGTGCCATCCCACTGCATCCCAACGAGGAAGCTCATCCAAGTCTTGGCGGCTCTCCGAATGAACAACCTCCATCGACCGGCATCAACATCCAAGACCACGACTCGCCCGTCTGGACCCTTGCGAAATTACGCTCTCGATGTTTGCCCCAGATAGCACGGCCCGCGCCTCGTGGGTCGAGCCTCTCAACCGCCGGGCGAGCAAGACCATTCTCTCTGTCTCTCTATGCTTCTCCATGTGCCCATCCCCCCAGTCTTTGGGCCTTGCAGCGATGCACTCGATATTCAACGCGACTCTGCACCTGGGCATGCAACTAGACATGCGCGCACAAGACAGACGCAGCTAGCTGCGTACAACTTGGTAGCTCTGACCAATGAGCATGCCTCTGAATCCTGGACATCACGTCTTTGACAGGGGATATGAGCAAGGTAGCTTCATCTTCCTCGTGCTACCTTTCATAACGTCTCTTGCTATGCCGAGCTTCAGACAGGCTGGGCTGCTCAGCAGAAATGGGCTCATTGGCAATTCCTTCCCGGGAGTGGCGCCGTCACCTAACGGGCATCTGGTCGTCGACGAGACACGCGAGATAAGGACTACTTAAACCACACCGCCGCCGCGATGCCACCTTGATCTGGCTTCCTTCGGTAGCTTTGCGCTCTCTCACCCTCGTTCATACCAAGGCAAGACCCAGCACCCGGCAAGATGCGCATCTCGGCCACTGTTTCCGCCTTCGCCCTCGCCCTCCACCTTGGAGGCGTTGCGGCCCTCGGCCCTCGCCAAGAAGCCAGCGACGCGAAGGAGACTCCTACCTTCATCGCCAAGAGCTTTATCATTGAATACGCTCCTGTGAGTGCCCGCTGCGCGTGGCTGCTGCCCGAAGAAAACCTTCCCAAAGGTTGTAGTCCCCAGCTGACACTCACCGTCTTTCTTACTCTAGGGTTCCAGCGCTCGTGTCCGTCGTCAAAATGTCGCATCCACAGACGGCATCACCGTCGTCAAGGAGTTCGCCAGCAACGTCTTCTCCGGTGCCAGCATCGAGACTGACACCTTCACCCTCGACACCCTGCAGGAGCTCCCTGACGTTGTCAACGTCTGGGTCAACGAGCAGATCAAGCTTGCGCCAACAGAGCCCAAGGCCGCTGCGCCTGAAGATGCTCCCACGTACTCGACACACAATGCCACTGGTGTAGCCAAGCTTCACGCCCAGGGCATCTTTGGTAAGGGTGTCAAGGTTGGTGTTATTGATACCGGCATCTGGTACAAGCACCCCGCTGTAAGTTGGAACTGCACCAAGTTGAAAGCGAACGTAGACTTACCATTCATTCATTAGCTGGGTGGCGGTTTTGGTCCCGGTTTCAAGGTCGCCGATGGTTACGACTTTGTCGGTGATGGTTCATACCCGGCCAGCGGTCCCAAGGCGCCTGACGAAGATCCTCTCGACACCCGCGGCCACGGCACTCACGTTGCTGGTATTGTCGCTGGCAAGACTGACTCGTGGGTTGGTGTTGCCCCCGAGGCCACTCTTCACGCCTACAAGGTCTTCTCCAACGCGGAGTCTACCGACACGGCCACTCTGATTGAGTCGTTCCTCGCTGCCTACGACGATGGTGTTGATATCATCACTGCCAGTATCGGTGGCTCCAACGGCTGGTCTAACAACGCCTGGGCCGAAGTCGCTTCTCGTTTAGTCGATGAGGGCATCGTTGTCACCATTTCGGCTGGAAACAGCGGTGCCAGCGGCCCTTTCTATGGCAGCTCCGGATCGTCCGGCAAGAATGTCATTGCTGTGGCTTCCGTCGAGACGGAGGTCTTCCCTGCCATCCCCTTCGAAGCCACCCATGGCGGCAGCGAGACCGTCCGCGTTGGATACCTTCCTTCCGGAACCTACTTCCCCAACACTATCGTCGACTGGCCCATTGTCGCTCTCAACACCGATACGAGCGCCACCGCTGATGGCTGCACGCCCTACCCAGCGGGCAGCCCCGACTTGACGGGCAAGATCCCCTTGGTTCGTAGAGGAACTTGCACGTTCCAGGTCAAGCAAGAGAATCTCGCTGCCCTGGGCGCAAAGTACATCCTCATCTACAACAACGCATCGCCCATGACGACCCCTAGCACCGGCAACACCGACAGCCAGATCGCCATGATCGCTGCTGATTCCGGTGCTGCCTTCATCAACGCCATCAAGGCCAACATCACCGTCACTGCTGACTTCTCGGTCAACCCCGAGATCCCGATTGCCCTCGACTACCCCGCTGGAAACCGCCCCAACATCTTCACCAGCTGGGGCCTGCTTTACGACAACCAGCTGAAGCCTGACATCGCCGCCCCTGGTGGTAACATCTTCTCTACCTACCTTGACGGAACGTACTCCATCCTGTCGGGTACGAGCATGGCCTGCCCCTACGTGGCTGGTGTCGCTGCGCTCTACATCTCTGAGAAGGGTGGTCGTAGCGTCCAGGGCAAGGGTTTCGCCCGTGCTCTGTCCCGTCGCATCATCTCCAGTGGTTACGCTCTGCCTTGGTCCGATGGAACTGCTACGAACTACGGCTACAGCGCACCCCCTGCTCAGGTCGGTAACGGTCAGATCGACGCTTGGAAGATTCTCAACTACGACACTCGGCTCGAGTTTGAGAAGATCCAGCTCAACGACACCCGCTACTTCAGCCGTTACCACGACGTCACTGTCACCAACAACGGCAAGTCGGACATCACCTACAAGTTCTCCGTTCAGCCCGGTGCTGGTGTGGATGCCCTCGCCTGGATTCCCGCCACCTCAAGCCTTCCTAGCACTAAGCGTGTCAAGACCTTTGCTCAGCTTGCCCCCAAGACGTACACTCCCGACATCAGTCTCCCTCGCGACTTCACCCTGAAAGCCGGCGAGACCAAGACTGTGTCCGTCAATTTCAACAACCCCGACAACCTTGGCTGGAACGCCACCGGTCTCCCGCTCTACGGAGGCAAGGTCGTCATCCAGGGCAGCAACGGCGAGCAAGTCTCAGTTCCCTATGCCGGCGTCGGTGCTGATCTCCGCAACACCCTCGGCGGTGTCCATGAGGCTGGCTGGCCCCAATCTGTTTCCACTGTCAACGATATCCCCATCAGCCAGAAGGCGTCCTACTCCTTCGACCTCAGCATTGAGGCTCAGGACTTCCCTAGGATCTTCCAGAAGCTCCTCTGGGGAACCCGCCAGACACGCTGGGATATCTACGAGGCTGGCTGGACTGAGCGCCAGTGGGTCTACCCTCCCGTCGAGGGCCAGAACGGCTACATTGGCTCGGCCGCGTCATGGGTCGGCTCTGGCGATGTCCAGACCTTTGACCCTGCGCAATATGACCCCAACGATACCTTCACCTACCCCATCACCGACATCTACCGCAATGCTGGCGCGACATACCATGAGCACTGGTGGTTCGGCAAGCTGGGCAACGGCACGCAGATTGCGCCTGGTAACTACACCTTGCGCTTTGCTGCTCTCCGACCTTTCGGAGACCCGACACACGCGGACAACTGGGATGTCTACAAGACGCCTCAGATCCAGATCACGGGACAGTACTAGACGTAACGGCTTAGTGTGACGAGCGCATAGTATATGATACAGTGATGATTTAATACAACCATAATACCTTGAGAAATGCTTTTGATGCTTTGTTAAAATCTGAATGCGGTTCTGACTCAAATTTCACAGAGACATGTCTGAAGCGACAGCTGGTAGCCAGGCCCTGCCTCTCTTCACGCAAGTTCATAGGCCACACCCTGACCCCGATGCGATTCACTGCAGCTCGGTTACGAGCTCACTCAGTCGCCCCACGTCAGCCTCACGCATGAGCCTACGGCAGCCTGCATGACGCGACTCTTCATCGAGATACGCAAAGCAGCAAAGATTCTCGGAGTACGACTCGTTCGTCATGCATGTTGGCCCCGCCGCTAATGCACAGAATTATCTTTTCGTACACTGAATCGACTGAGCAGCGTCAGTCTTAGCCATCGAGCCGTGAACGAAGCGGGGAAGATGCTCTCGCGGCCCGCGCCGCAGATGTGCGCCTGATGGAGGGTTAGGTACGTAGGATCCGGCTTGCAGACCGAGATCCTGATGGGACGTTGATGTTCGCTTCAGCAGATGTCAGTGAGTGATAGCTCACACGAATGCAGGTCCCTTGAAAAACTTGATTCGAGCACATGTGAATGAGGAGATTGAGGAGATTGGTTGGCTGGTGACATTTGATGCTGATCTTGGCTCTTTTCTCTGGCATGCTGTACCTGATTATCTCGTATGAGAGATGTAGTTTGTTCTCATCTGAACCGATAAAAGTATAAATCAACCAAGACTCCTTCGCTTACCATTGACTTTCAATAAAATCAAGAGACTAAGATACAATCCATCCCCAAAAGTCTTGTTCGTTTTAGTCTATAACTTGCTCGCCCGCAAACCAACGCCAAGATGACGATCGAAGAACAGCCCGAGCAATTCAATAACACACGCAAAGCCGACTTCAAATCAATCTACAACCAATCCGATCCTCGCGCCTACTTCGCAGCCCTGACGACATTGCAGTACCAGATCCCGCAGCTGGCGCTTCCTTTCGTGAACCGTATTCTCCAGCACATCTCCAGCCGCGCTCCGTCCGCGTCTCCATCCGGGACCACTTCCAATGATGATGACACGGTGACCACGGCAATCAAAGTCAAAGTTCTGGATGTGTGCTCCTCGTACGGTATCAACGCCGCCCTACTCCGCCACGACATCGATATGGACGGGTTGGCGGAACACTACGTCTCTACACCGAAGCCCTCCTCCCGGGAACAGATCGAGGCCGACGAGCGGTTCTTTGCGGGGCGTAGATTGCAGACTGAGCAAGACTCAGAGAACGAAGTCGAGATCATCGGCTTAGACGTCGCACCCGAAGCAATATCGTACTCTCTGCAAACAGGTCTTCACGCAGCCGCCTTCACAGAAAACCTCGAAACCTCCAACCCCTCACCAGACCTCCGTAACGCACTCCGCGATGTAAAGCTCGTGGTATGTACCGGCGGCGTAGGCTACGTCGGCGCCTCAACCTTTTCACGCATCGCTGCCGCCGCAAGGCCTTCATCGTCGTCTCCCTCGGAGTTATGGATGGTGACGTTTGTTCTGCGCGTTTTTTCGTTTGATGAGGTTGCGGAGAGGTTGAGGACGAAGTTTGGGCTTGTGACGGACAAGGTTGAGGGGCGGGTGTTTCGGCAGCGGAGGTTTAGTTCGAGGGAGGAGCAGAGGGCTGCGGTGGAGGATGTTAGGCGGAAGGGGCTTGATGAGAGGGGGTTGGAGGGGGATGGGTGGTTTTGCGCGGAGTGTTGGGTTACGAGGCCGGAGAGTTGGAGGGGGGAGGTTGGGGAGTTGGTTGAGGGTCTTTAGTGGTTGGCTTTCCGAGGGATGAAGATGATGTTGGTGACTGGATGTTGTCTTCGTGTGTCATTGAGTTTACTTGTGGGATTCGGCGTTTCGATATGTCGAAGGGCCCGGAGTGTGTGTAGCACAGAGGCGTTGCCAAGTCCCAGCGCTGTTCCTGTTGCTGTAGGTTTGCCGTGTCTTTCGATTAGCAGATGATGTCGGAGACTTAGCAGATGATAGAGTGAACCAATTTCTATGCCGAACCAAAATATCGCTTCCCATTCGTACACGTGTCCAAGAGATCGGGCCAGTGGCGAACCCAAAGTTGGATGTGGCTCTCTGGGTCAGTAGTTGACAATGTCGACCCGGACAGAAGATTCCTTATGTGGGAACATCCTTAAACGCCACGTAGCTGCAACTCCAGATGATGGGATACGGGCGAGACTCAGCTTCGAACCACCAGAGCGTATCTTTGATGATAATGAGCCTCCCCGCAACCAAGGCAGGTCCTTGTGGAACTGCTTAGTCCTTGATCTCGTGGCCGAGGGTCCTGTCGAAGATATCGACGCTGCAGAAACGTGAAGCTGATTAAGACGGGTAGTTGAGTGACGAGCAATACTCTCTAGAGGACAAGTACTGCTTTTCGCTTTTGCTTTAAGTCGAGAATCCATTGAACCCAAAGTTCGACGTCTTTTCGGAAGCAGAGCTTTCCGACTATGGCGACTGAAACTCGACTTTGATTCGGGGAAGGGTTCCATTTCTATCCGCAGGCGTGGACTCTCGCGACGAATCTACTTCCATGATGCACTTGCGACAGTCCTTCGGATCCCAGGTCCGTGGAGAAGAAACGCATTGCTGTGGTACGTAAGATGTTAGCTCTTCAGCCCTCGAAATTGACTGAGTGATCAACGGGAATCGCCAGGCGACTTTGAGGTTTCAGATATTTGTCAAACCTTTTGCTTGGCCCTTTCACACACGCATTCTTTACATTTCTGATGCTGGAGGGTGCGAGGGATTCGATGCATTGCGTCGTCTAATAGTCGTTTCCGGGAAAAAGCGAGTACCCTATTTGTCGCGATTTGCATCAACCATAGATCGGTCGTCTCCTGTTAAGTTAAGGTAAGTTCTTAACAGTTCTCTTGCAAGTTGACAGCTTTCACTCGGGTTCAACTATTTTCATGTCGAAAACGAAAACGAAAAGACTTTGCGCCGCCGCCAAGGCAGCAACTGTCATACTAGGCTGAGTAGATTTACGCTTAATACTAGCGTACCATAAGAACACAACCAACCAAAAAAGCGAAGTGCACTTGGACCTCGAAAGAACAGGAGATTTCTACGGTTTGTCTCAGCTCGCAATTTCCCTCAACTGGTCAACTGGTGAATGCACATAGTTAACATGGTCGCTTCAGTTCAGGCCCCCATCTACCCACCACAATGTCCATGACTGTGCTCCATGTGCACCTCGACACCGCAGACCAGTCACACCACTCACAACGTAGACCCGTGCCCCCTCGGAAACACTTACCATGGTAGGATAGGATTTCTATATGCAAACCGTTACGGCAAAGACCGAAGCGTGCGGAAAAGGCCGAGCAACACCGACCGAAAGATTATCGATCTGCTACCCAGGGCTGGCACAGACACGTAAGCCTTGGGGAATGTTCATTGCCATTGGATCGACATTTTTTACATTATTGCTTGACGGAAGAGTGTTCACCAGTAAATCTGTCGATGTGGTTTCTACGATAAGATTCAAAGAACGCCTTACCTGAGTTGCATGGGTCGGCCTCCGGGACGGTCTTTTTTTCAAGTGGGTCGAGGCCTCCGAGCCCAAGCCTCCCCCTGTGTTGCTTAAGCCCCTTGGATGTTTATTTTACGTGAGGTACCCTTGACATACCTGCATGTCTTATGCGGGAGGGACGCCGTTGAAAGTTTTCAATAGCTACGGAGTATTGGAGGCCATCTCCGCGGAGCTCGTGGGATGGCCCTCATATTGCTCTTGTCAGGCCCATCCCAGTACACTCGTTACAACGATTGTCACACTATGCCTATGAGACAATATGGTCTTACACAAGCATGACTAAGTTTGCCAAGGATATGCCAGTATAAAGGGTCTTCCACTCACTATATAGATAGTCGGGATATTCCCATAGCCACTCGTTCTTCATACTCATCAATACATCCCATTGACCCCCTACCTGATAATCGCTGCCCAACAGCTCTATACTGATGCTAAAGGTATGCCTGTCCAGTATTTCTTTACATGCCGAGAGGCCCAAGCTTCTCGATACATCCGCAAGGTCCCTATTAGCATGGTCTGTATTCGTTATTGTCATTTAGTAGTACGATGCATCGGCGAATGAATCATCTGGTGAACGCAAAGCCAAAGGACCGACTCTAGTTGGTTGAGGCTGTTCTTGGGGCTCAGTCTGATGAGCACCGTCTTCTGTCTCATGCAAGCTACAGCAGTCAGTGAGACTCGTCGCGGTGTCAGTGGTTACCGTCCAGTGGCAGATGGTGTCACCCGTGTCATCCCATGTTATCAGGCACGTCTGCTTCAGAGCTTGTTTCTGGCCCCTAGACGAATCTCGCAGATCGACACTGGCAGGGCCGAGCTTAGACTTGGCCGGGGGAATGCCCCTTGAGCTCGTGTCTCAAAATACAAAGCTCTACCTGAATCAAAGCCGTGGAAAAGAACTCTCTTCATGGCGCAGTCTATCAGATCGGATGACATCTCGTACCCCGTAGAGTAAAAGTCCAGCATTGCATACTGGACGCGTGGCCGCGACCGATCTGGCGGCACCTCTTGACATTCTTGGTGATCATGCAAACTAACCCTGACGCCGAGCTACAAAAGTTCATGGCATGCCTAAAGTACAACAGCCAATCAATGATATCAAGCTAGAACATTCCTAATCGCGTCACTCACCAGCCAAGTTGTCGTTAGGGTCCCACCAGATGAAAGTTTGTCGAACACCAACGGCAATGATACCGACAATTAGTGCAGAGACATTTCGACCGGTGACATCAAAAGCGCATCGCGGTTCATCGGAGAATGGGCAGGACGTTCCCCTTGACATTCCCCATGACGCGTCTAGCCAAGTCAAGCCAAGTTGAGATTTTGCCGGTGTTGGTAACTAGCGTGGCTCACGATGGGTCTTGGGGGCTCGGTGTGGGTAAGTATGTTTGATGGTTCTGTATAGATTATCTAAGTATGGCAAGTGTCCCGGCCAAAAGCTGGAGACGTTGATACTAGCGAAACGCGAGCGTGAAGCCCCTGATTCACCTTCAGTCACCAATTTGTGCGTTCAACACTTGAAGTTGTCAGCACTAGGCTCACAGTGACAGGGACACCAACTTAGGAGAGGTTACTTTAGGAGATGACTCTTAAAGACAAAAATAGAGTTGACAGCCAAGGGCATCGTTGTCCAACGACTTCAGCTATCCATCTAGTCAGGCCTAATCGTAGGAAACGTCAAGCCTCAAGCTCTAATCGTTGATTTGTAGAGACTCGAAATAACTGCGATACTACGTTGCAAGCGTTCGTGTTCTAGGCAGCAGCCAATTTGAGTTTCACATGTTCCAGGCCTAGGTTCCCTGCAGACATAAAAGCCGGCGCTAGAAGCACGGAGCTTCGGAGACTTGGGGCCATAGACTGACCTACAATTGGCGGCGGCCTTGCGCCGTTATTCCGAATCGCAGCACAGACGACCGGCATTCGATGCCGAGTCCAACTTACCGTTAGAAAATGTGACCTGGGCAGGAATTTTGGCTGTCGAGGAAGATCTGAGACTGGGCCACTTGAATCTCCAGACTCCACGGACCACGGGGCGAGAGGTATGTCCATCTCAGGGGAGACTGGGAGTGGACTAGGAGCGGGAGGGTGTTATCGGCCAGTAACACTCTTTCGAGAAACCCCGAGAAATGTGACGAGACTGAGACTCGGCCTCGTAGGGCTGAAAGAAGCGTTTTACTCAATCTATCGGCGTCGCCGTGTGATCCACGCCGACCAGGCAACTGTTTTTCTTGTCTCGATGGGCTCAGTTTAGACAATTTGCTGAGTCTTCAAAACGGCCTCACCATCCCCGGCCCCATAATTCATGAGGTAAAAACTTACGTTTTGTCTGTGTGATTGGTTCCGCCGTAAAAGACTAAACCTAGCGCCAAAACGCATGTCGATTCTGACGAAGGGGCTGACGTCGCAGGGACAAGCCAGGGAGGGGCACACGGCGGCCGAGGGTCGCGATCATCCGTATTCGACACCTTGGCTTTATATAGTGGACGCCGCCCGAACGCGCCAATCTTGGTATGTGTATCCCCTGTCTTAGTTCCTGCGCCCGCACAACCCGATTCCCGAGAGAGCCTCACTACCGACGGTGTACTGAGCTCAGGATTCGACGGCCTGTCAGTGGCTACCTTGCCCTCTTACCAGTGAATCCTATGCGCCTAGAGACGCACGCATATACACACTACACAACCGAAGCCGACAATGTCATTGGATACCTCGATCCCGGGTACTGGAGTCTTCTCGGTGGTACCCGCACCCAAGAAGCCCAAGCGGACTAGGGCGAGCGCATCAAAGGTTAGGACCGGATGTCTAACATGGTTTGTGACAACACTGATGCCACTGTAGTTTATTAAAGACTGGTTCAACTGACGCCACCTACCCTATTGACAGCAAGTAAGGCTTCTCCGCCTCATCCTACAACTACCAACTCTGCCTTATCCTTCAACGTAGATAACTCCAGTTCCCCAGTAGCTGACCATGATTCCGTTATCAGAGCCCGGCATGTGAAATGCGATGAGGCGAAGCCTTCCTGCAAGCGGTGTAGCAAGGACAAACACAAGTGCGATGGGTATCCGACGTCACTTCCGAACAAACGCCCGAGCCCGGCATCATCATGCTCATCCCGTTCGACACCCCCAGTCCGGCGACGGAATATCAACTCAGTAATGCAGCTATCGCCACCTGTTGACTGGGACGTTTCCGGTACGACCCTCGAGAGGTTAATGTTCCACCACGTGAACCGATGTACTGTCCCGGATTTCGGAACCGCAACACCGCTAGCCAAGCTATGGAGCAACTACATCCTACCGCTGGGATACTACTCCGACTCTGTGAAGCACGCCATCATCGCACTCGGCGTAGCTCATAGGGGATTTCTGGAGAATCCCTACTTCGATGAAGAACCTTCCGAATCCGCGTTAGCATTCAACGATCTAGCCGTCAGGCACTACCGAAAGGCTGTGTCGGAGACCATACAGATCATGGCCGATCCGTCACCCGTCAACATTCGGATCACGCTCATCTGCTGCCTAGTATTCGTATGTTACGAGATTGTGCGAGGCCAATACGACAAGGCCATCCAGCACCTCAAGGCCGGGTCCAAAGTTCTCGAGTCACTTCACCAAGCAGCGATATCTAATCAACGTGACCCGTCGTCCGTATCGGCCTACGACAGACAGCTAGCAGACACGGTCAAGAAGCACTTTGACCAGTTGTGCGACATCACAAATATGTTCACTTGTGTAGGCATGGACGCCTCCATGCTTATCGAAGACGAGGTTGTCCCCGATCTATCTTATTTTACACAGCCAGAATCTGAAGACGAGCGCAACACACCATTCGAAAACGTATCCGAAGCCCGGTACCGTCTGCACTTTGTCGAGTTGACGTTTTCAGACGCCTTTGACGATAGCTGGTTCTGCGAATACGATAATTGCTGGCACTCGAGCTCCTCTCCCTGCCAAGCACCGGAGCCTTCGCAAGAAGTGCAGGCCTTGCAGAAGGCGGCGTGGGATGAGGCAGCGAGGCTTTTCGACGTTTGGTGCTGCCGTTTCGATCTGCTACAGGAGACACTGCCAGACAATCTAGAACCCGCGGACTTGAATGAGTTGAAAGCTCTCCGCTTCTCTCGCAAGAGCTGGGAGATTTTCAATGCCCAAGAAGGACCGTGTGCCATGAAGAACGGCAACATGGCCGACCTGCACGGACTCGTTGATATGGCCGAGGAGATTGTGGCCGGCAGAGACGGATTTCCCCGGCCGACGTTTGCGCTCGCAGCAGACATTGTGCCCTCTCTCTCGTACATTTGCGCCTTCTGCGACAATGTTGACTTTGAGCGGAGGATCGTCGATGTCCTCCGTGGTATGAAGCGGAGGGAGGGCATGTGGGACAGCAGGGAGCTGGCGAATTTGTATGATCTCGTCATTCAGGCCAAGACCGGCAACCAGTGGAAGGACGAATACAACTGGGAGACACTCCCCAGCCTTGCGAGGATGATGGCAAATATGTCGTTGTCTGGTTCGGGGGATCGAGCGGGGCCGCCTAGTCCTTTGACTTTGCTTTGAGAGTATGGCAATGACGGAAGCGTGGAGTTTTGGGTGATACAAGGAAGGGATGTCTGATTCATTCCAAGACGGAAGCTTTTACTTCATGATTGCAGTGGCGACGAGTCCGTTTGGTCGCCAACATTATGGCCCGACAGCACTGGCTGAATGTGTTCAATTAGAACATCACGCCTATGAGCACAAATCTTAGGCAAAAACTTCGAGGATGCACTTTTGGAGACTAGGGGAGGATATCGTACTAGGTACCGTGTACGAAAGAAATGAGACATCCAATATTGAAATATAGCTACTAGGTATGCAGAAAATAGGGACTAAGTATGTACAAGAAGGGTACCAACTTTTGAAGAAAGTGTCCATGATTTCAATCTAGCCAAATCGCGTCTACGCGCGTAGCGGTAGAGATTGGCCGTCGTTCAAATCATGCTCTGTGATTCGTCAAACATCATTCGTGGACCTCCAATACGACTCGCCACCCACGACCATCGAGGGTGGTTTGCAGTAACTAACAGAGGCGACTTCGGCTCTCATACTCGTAGATCATGAAGTGCAGCTGAGAGTTCCGTACTTGTTGGACACGGGCGTAGTGTCTAGCAAGAAGAGAACGTTAGCAGATGGTCGAGGCTCATCCGACGAGGAGAAATGAGGCCACTCACCAAGCTCGATTTGGCTCTCGGAGCCGTTGCAAGAGCAGCTCAACCAGACTCGGGTGGTGCCGAAGATCGGCCCGTAGACCGGGTCCTCGATGCGGTAGACATAGCAGTCGTTGCAGGCATCACCAAAGTTGCCCTTGCCGCTGTACTGCACCGGGAGAGTCAGCAACAGAGAGCACATGTGGCATGAGATACTATTCGCATACCTGAATCTTGGTGCCCGTGTATGTGAAGCAGGCGTTGAGGTCGAGGGAAGTCGACTTAACCGTGCCCTTGCCGTCACCGGCGTTGCAGTTTGCCGTCAGAACCTGGGTTGCGGGGTCGATGTGTTCGTCCGTGCAACTCTTGCTAAAGTCCCCTGCAGCGACTAGGGACGCTAGCATGGCAACGGCGATGGAGAAGGTCTTCATTGTGTGGGTATGATTGGATCTGAGATGACAGATTGCTTGAGATGATTGTATCAAAGCTTGATGTTGATGCTGTAAAACTTGTTGTTCAGGACTGGATTCTTGGAGAGGCACATCCATTCTTTAATAGCCAGATGCGAACACCGGAGAATAAGTTGTTTCACCGGGTGTTTTTTACTTCCGCATCATGGTTCAGGGCGACGGAGTTTGCAGCGTCGTATGCTTCGCTGCTTTCGGTTTGCCGTTGCAACCGCGGGATGCGTTCATTTGACCATTAGAACGTGACATCCAATACACCCAGTACCCAATGGGCAGGTGCGGAGCATCACTTTCCATGTTTGTGAATCTTAAAATCCAATCAGGGAGGTGAACGGCCTGGGACTGCAACGGCGGCTATCTGCGCAAGCTTCACCAGAACTTTTGTCTTTCAACGAAGCGGACCCGGCCAAAACCCCGATAAGGATGGAGCCGGCCGACGGGCGGTGAAAATACATGCTGTTTGCCGTGTGATTATAACTCAGCTTCTAAGCAGGATGTTTGCCTCCCTTCTCGAACGAACCAACGGTGAGGCACGCCCGCCATGTAAGGTTACAATTAAGGCTTTGTCACAGCGGAACATTATGCAACGGTTCCAAGATACCTGCATGCAGTGGATCTCTGACATCCGGTCTAGACGCAGATCCTGACATGAAATCTCCTCATTTCGATCGTCCCGCGCGGTACTTGACGCTAGCCTTGATTCTCTCACGTGTTGAGTGGACGGGCAGATCTTTCCGATCACGGGGCGTGTGAGTCTCAATCAAAGTCATAAGCGGTAAGGCCGGATGGGTATCTACATGGAGTGATGGTTCGGGCATTGGGGTCGCTGACCTGAAAGTCCGAGCACTTGTCAGTCGTTATGTTGAGAAACCCGAGGTCTTACTTCCTGGTGAGCTCTCGGGACTGATAAGCTGTAACATATGTTTCTTGTATGGAAATATATGTTTACTCAACAACGGTGTATCACAAAGCGAGGTAGTAAGTGGAAGATATGTATAGTAGAAAGTGGCTTGATTCCTCTAAGTGGAAGATCCGTATGAGGGTCATATCTATATACCATAAGACGGGTAATCGGCTTGTGGAAAGCGGTATCGTACGGCAGTAACCGGCAGCGCCACGTGTGGCGCTGCGACACGGTGAGAAAAGACAATAATGGAAGGTGAGTGCCAAGAGGGGACAATGAGAATAAGTACTGATCGTGACGCCGGACGGCAAAAAGGTTCGGCAAGCCTGATTGCCTCCCTTGCATCGTGCCCCCGCCCCCACCTCCCGAGAAACCGGGTGATCCTTCACAGTTGCCACCTAACAAACCAGGATGGTGGTTATCATACCATAGGTCCAGGCCATGCTCACGGGAACTAGCGCATCAAAGGTCCCGGGCTCTGGACCAAACAACTGAAACGGTTGATTGTGAACTATCTTACATGTGATTAGACTCGGGCAACTTGTTACTAATTTGTGACGGCTGAGATATTGGAAGCTCCTTGAAAACCCAATAGACCGACAATATGAACAAGCTCTCCACGATCATGCGAGAGATATTAAACCAGAAGCCTGCGGGCTCTGGGTCGAAGGATAGGAGATACTGGCGGAATTGCGTTCTAGGGACGACCATAGCACTGTCTCGGGCAAGCCAGCGGCACCCAGAGACAGGTTAAACACATAGTTGCCTTTGGGCACGATTTGGAGGACGAGCTGGACTGTATCTAGTGATAGCTATAGGCCTACGGCCCTCCACGCCATATACCCTTCGGGAGGTCTGCCGCAAGGGCGGCTGCGCCCTTGCCGCTACGGCGTTAAAATACAACAACAACAACAACAACAACGATGTTCGAGATCAATTGGCCACAACTTTTGCAAAGACGTTCACTATGCCGGATTACATGTACTAACCTACCAAGCGATGCCCGTAGTGACTAGTGGCCCGATAAACCATGTTGGTTCAGGAGGAGCCTGGCTTGTCCTTATTGGTATCTTGCTGAAAGTAGATACATGCAGTATGGCATATGCACCTTGGTGCTTACCCCTTTTCTCAGGAACACAAATTTCCTTTCAAGCGACTTTCATTGGTCATGGAAAAAGCAAGTAAAACAAGGCTCATGTAACTGTCAACATCCAAAAAGATTGACATTCGGAACTTTCAGACCACAAGACAGGTCATGCAGGCAGGAGCTTGGGTCAATTAGCAGCGCCAATCATGACGGAACAACCAAACAGTGGTTGAACTAGGCTGAAAGGATTGTCAAGTGACTTCTTGGCACTCGGACTTATTGAACATAGTGTTGCACCGTTGTGGTTGATCAACTCCAGCCTTTTGTGCCCGCACCTATTCGCATCCATGGCAGGTCCCTGAAGACTAAGTGACGAGCCTCCGCAGTACAACGATCAGAAATTCCGCGTGTCTGGCGGACGGACTCCTTGCTGTATGGTATGGACGAGTCAGAGACCGGGCAACACATGGCATGTAGCTAGCGTACTGATATAGAGTTGTTGGGGTGTCCTCGTTCGAAGAGAATGACTCAAACCATGACCACTTACCCAGTGTTCTCTCAAGGGCGTTCACCGCAGGTCCTCCTGCACTGAGAAATGGCATGTCCATCGTAAATGCCAAGATCATCCATGCATTGCTGGACGCACTAATGTGACTTGTTAGCTTGTCTCTTGGTTCATCGTGCCTACATGCAGATTGTGAGACACTTACAGCAGAAAGCTGACGCTTTTCAGCCTCTACGGGGCTTGCCGCGGAGGCCACAGCCATGATAGCGGTCAGGAAAGCGATGGCGGAGAAACGCATTTTACGACTTGAAGGTTTTCGACTCGAAGGCGCTGAGTGCTAAAAGTTGGAGGATGTTCAATTGGCTGATGTGTCGTGGATTGTAAGAGTTAGTTGAGATATGGTCAGTAGCATCGCTGCCTTTATAGCTCCCCGAGGTTAATAACTTGGGAGTGAGTAGAACCATCCTCACAACATCCTACTCTGGAAGAGATAGTAGTGAGACTCACTAGCCATCTTGGCGGGGCGCAAGCTAATTGACAACTACCCTATGGGAGTTGCAGTTGTAGATGTAAGGGTAATAGTAAAATCCTATAGGATCTGCCAAGCTATGAAAATAAGCGTGGCAACGTTCCCAGATTCCTATATGGGACTCAATCGGCAGAATGATAAGACAGCCTGAATTCCAGTTCAGTTGCCTTCCTCTAATGAACTAGGGGCTTCGCAGTTATTGTGCGACCCCAGCATCCGTATCTCTAGAAACGATCTAGTACGTGGCGGTTCGACTGTGTTGCGGTGGCACAGCGCTCGATCTGATCTGGCGAAGGCTGCAGAGCACACCGGTCGTAATTTTCTCCTCTATTTCTACTTGATACATGTAGCAGGATCCATAGACCACACCTACCTGGATTTTAGCGGGCAAATCGTTGTTGATGTATGTGATCGTTGTTGAACAGAAAGTCTCGAAGGCCCTATAAAGACGGAAACTTGGAAGGTTTAGGCATGACCTCTAGCCATGCTCAACGCTCAACTGGCCTCGAATGGGTAAAGTACAAGCTTATTGAACATCATTGGCTATCTCGGACTTGTTCAGTCAAAGATCTTAGAGCCCAGGACGATCCGAACGATCCCCACCCTGGGCCTTAAGCTTGAAACTCAATACGCCATATCCTGTGACCGAAAAGCAATCCATCTTTTAACGACAACCAAGTTGAAGGGTAGCTCCGATACATGTTGGAGCTCTCCAGGTTTTCCATAGTCAGTACAGTCCATGACTCTTACAATATTAGGAATACTTGCCTAAAAGATCGCAGTTAAACTGCAGATATCATGCAGACCTGAGAGCACGGGGGCAACTGACTCATTGTACCATTGTACAGCTTGATCATTGAGAGGCTTCCTATAACATGGTTATTAGCTCTCCGGTGCACGAGTCAAAGACAACCATATCCTGAGACTGAGAACGCGTCGTGTATTCCCTTTGCCTATTCTCGGGACTTATCAACCAGCCGATGGCCTGGTGCCAAAGTTCAGTGGATGGAAAATGTCCAGACCGTCGGCTGTCTACTCAGGCTTCTGAGCAAAACGTTATTGCAAACCGTCTCGGCGAAGCACGCGGAGCCTGATCTGGGTCATTCGTCTCATTGCTTTATGGCGCGCAAACTCGGCGGAGAGGTTCCTCGTCCACAAGGGTCATTATTCAGTAATAGCTGCCACGTGGGAAGAGAGTTTTAGGCAAAAGTCCATTTTATCATCGTATCACGACATGTTGTAAACGACAGAAAAAGGCCCGCGCCTCCCACGGGTCGAGTCATCCCCGAATCTGGACCGAACTGGGGAACCAAACACCCTGGGACCTTGCGGAGTTGCACACGCCGCTCCAAGTCCCGTGGGAACCTGCCGTCTCTTCATGCTCTGGAACAGCGGCTGCAAGCCTTCTGCAAGCCTACGGCAGCGTGGCTCGCGTGGGCAGTAATTTGGACTCGCACTTCTTTAGCTAGCAGACAGTCTGACTCGGGACGACGAACTTGACGATGCCCATCGTCCGTTTTGAGTTTGGCTTCGTACCGACAAGTACCTTACTGTTGGGCAGCGATTATCAGGGAGGGGGTCAATGGGATGTATTGATGAGTATGAAGAACGAGTGGCTATGGGAATATCCCGACTATCTATATAGTGAGTGGAAGACCCTTTATACTGGCATATCCTTGGCAAACTTAGTCATGCTTGTGTAAGACCATATTGTCTCATAGGCATAGTGTGACAATCGTTGTAACGAGTGTACTGGGATGGGCCTGACACTTACATTGCTCAAATGTCTCATCCGCATGCGCCGCCTCCCCGACGGGCCTGGGTTCCTCCGATCCACATAGCTTCTCGTTTCGCTCAATCTAGACTGCAACCGGCTATAGTGACAATTAGTGGCGTCATAAAGAGAGTGGAGCCCCCATCCTTCAAACACGCGCAATGATCTCGTAATCATGGCTGGGCGTTGGGACTGGACTTTTTCCATCACGTTCATGATCACGCCAGGTGGACGAGACGAGTTGCCTCAAACCCCAGCGGATGACACGCAGTCATGAACCGAACTAGACTGCGCATTGCGGTTTGGCTGGCATGTCTTGCCGTGGATATCACGGCAGCATCGGCTTCCACACAACTTGTCGCCGTGTCGAATGCGACTTCACCCGGGGTAATATCGCCAGCCCCCCTTGACCCGGCAGCAGCCGCGATGGAGCAGATGGCAGCCTCATTATCCCCATGCGCAGTAAGACTCCACTGATCTACCATTCTAAGTGCACGTTGACTCAGAGTCCGTCCAGTTGAACTTCATTTTCTGCATTATAATCTCAGGAGAAACTTTGGTTGCGGCCACTCTTGAATGCAACTGAACCTGAGATGCCCTTGCACGTCTGACTTGGTCCCACTGCTTCAGCTTATCAAGCAAAGCTTCTTTGGTGAAGTCTGGGTGAACTAGGATTCTGTCGTGTGGTCACAATGTGGGCATCGAGATGTGTGATAGAGAACGGTTATCCATTGAAAGTAGAGAATAGGTACGAGGCTCGCTCTGAAATAGGTGATGCGAGCGAGTGTGGGCCTCGGTGATTATGTAACCGATGTCACGTGACGGGTAGTGAGGCCACAGATGGTTGAAGCCATCACGACAGATCCTAAATGCTTCAGCACATACCTCGAAAGGTACCCACTGTTAGTAATTGTTAAGGTTATAGAGGGCTATGGCCCATTGCACTATCATCTCTCAACATCAGCCCATACGAGCTGAATTCCACGACCATGGCGGTCTCCCTAGATGTAGGGCCATCGATCACGGTTCACGGGGACGCCGGTATATCTCGGCGGTCGGGACGAGTCCGGAAGCCGACTACAAAGGTCAGAGTGGTTGAGCAGGTTAACCACCAGGACAACTCTGAGCTTAAAGACGAGATCAACAAGCTTTCGAATCTTGTCCAGGACCTCCTACGTCGGGACGCCGAGAGGGAACAGTTTTTGAAAGACTATTTGACGAAGATCGAATCCTTGGAGAGAGAGCTTCAGGAGGAGAAACAGCGTTCAAACCGGCATCAACGTGGTCTAGCAAGGTCTATGCACGCTATTGGCACAGGGCCTAGCGAGACTGACCTGAGTTCCCAGGGGCATCCCTCGCACACAACCCAGAACCAGCCGCCCCCAGTCCGTTCATACGCGGCGGCGGCGAGCCAGCCACTGTCCAGAAGACAGGATGAACCAACGCCAGCCAAACAAGCCGCAAAACAAGCTACAAACCGGACGGCCTTAAAGGATCTACGCGTCTTCGCGCGTCTATCGCCTGAAAGCCCGCTTCGGAACGAGAAAGCCTACGACATATATATCTTCGTTCGGGAAAGGCTAAGTCCCCAAGCCCGAGAAGCCCTCAAGGGGATCGACCATGTCAAGACAGGATTAGCACTCCTACCTTCGTCAATGGATGGTGCAAAAGTCCTGCTAGAGAACAGAGAACAGATCGCTACCCTTCTCCAAGCGCAAGCGATCGAGCAACGCGATACCTAGATCCGAGCATATATCGCAAACGTCCCTTACACCAGGCATTGTCTGGTAACCAACACTGAGCTGGAAATCACGACCGAGGAGCTCCTTGAAGAGATCCAGGTCTCGACGAAACTCAAGCCTGAAAAAGCACACTTCTCTAGGAAGGACGAAGTCGAAAGGCTAGGCACGGTGACAGCCTGGTTCAAGGCGGAAGCCGTAAGGTAACTACCAAGACGCCTCCGTTTGATGGGGGCCAGCGTTTTTATAAACCTGCAGTTCCCGAAGGAGAAGAGGTCTCCTCAATGTCTCCGCTGCGGCGGTTTTCACAACGAACGAACGTGCACTAGAAGGAAGA